TGATGCTGCCGGGCTCCCAGCCGTGGGGCTGCATCCCAGGGAATCCCGGGGATGAGGCAAGCGCTGGGGGCTGCTCCTTTTCCCTTGGGATTGTCAGGACCCCCCCACTGCCCACGAGAGCTGCAGGGACGGGTCGGGCGGGAAGCGCGAGTCCTGCCGCCGGAGCCAGGGCTGGAGCTTTTATCCGTGGAAGTGGCCTCCTCGCAGTGATGCACTGCACGGGAATGAGCAGCTGAGCTCTGAGCGCCGCTTCCCAGCCCGGCTCCTTCCCCGGCACTCGCTGCGGGACTCATTGGTGGCAATTAGCACGTGCAGTGGCCATTAACTAATTAGTCCTGCCATCGGCCGTGCTGGAAATTGCCCCGAGTCACGTCACTCCGGTGCTATGGGAGGCGAGGATCGTTGGGATGCCGCGGTGCTGAGTGATGCGCCCGGGAGGAGCGCGTGGCCAGGCTCCCCCTTGCCAACACGAGGAGCAGAGGGCTGGGATTGGCAGCAGTTCTCCATGAGCTGGAAGGAAACTATGAGAAATCGGTCATGGGAAACAAGAAGCTTCCTGCCAAGGCAGTGGAACCCTGTTTTCAATCAGAAATGACAGTTTCTTCAGGGGACCGTCTCAACTCAGCCGTCCTGACCACCTCTACACTGGGATTGCCCCCATTGCCCCCTCTTGCCTGCGCCCCTGCCCAGGCTGGATGACCTGGGACCTTCCCCACATCCCCCTGGCTGCCCTGGCACGGATGGACCATCCGGCACTCGCACATGGAGTCTGCGGAGGGGATGCGTTTTATGCTCCATAGCAAAGATAACAGCTACAGGCCAAAGGAATCCGATCCCAAGTGAGCAGCATCCGGGGCAAGAGAGCAGCAATGGTACCGAAAGCCCCTTTATGCCCCACGCTCCGAGCAGCGATGACCTGGGTAATTAACCTGCCCTCGGTAATGAACCGTTTCGAGCCGTGTCAAGGGCCGTGTCGCCTCCTGACGCGCGGGGGTGACTCATCCTCCGAGCAGCTGCTCCTCTTTGCATTTCTGCGGGCGGCCAAGGCGCTTTTTAAGCGCTGGCAAAACATCCCCGGCAGCAGCCGCAGGCTGCAGCCGCACACGGGGCGGCCCCGGTCGCTGCAGCCGGGTCTCCTAAGGGATGTGCAGAGATTCGTCCCGGGATGGCTGGGATTGAATCACCTGGAAAAGCACGAGCAGAATCCAGGGTGCTGCAAATGGCCTTGCTGCCATTGGGATCATTTATTCTTCTGCTTCGGGCAAACTCTATCTGGCAGGAAGCCTTGTGCAGAATGAGAGAAAAGACCTTTCTGCCTGCTAAGGGGACACTTGAGTTTTTGAGCCTTAGCACAGTCCCTGAATTAAGCTGTTATCACATAAATTGGATTTTCATGCTAGAAAAGATGCTTTGCCATCACTTTGCCTCCCAAGGGGTTCATAAACCGTGAAGTGCAAGTATGTCACTTCTCATCCCCTAAATTTGCCAAAATTTAATAGGATTCCAAATGAAAGGAGATATTTTTGCTGAATCCTCCAGGCTGAACTTGCATCTTCACATCTTTCACGGGCTCCCTCATTCTCTGCTCCCTCTCTACTCCGATAAGGTGCCTGCCTCCCTATTGAGGCTGCTGAGGCTGATAATCCATCAGGCCTCTCAAAAAGGCTGCTTCAGAGCCCAGCAAATGCACTGGGAAAACTCCTAGTAACAGAGAAGCCTTCGGAGCAGCACCAGGACCACCACGACGGCCAACTTGGTGCTTCTGCAAAACAAGGAGTGAGACCGGCCCGGAATGTCTCTGCTTGCTGCTCTCCTCCAGTGCTGTCATCTGCACTGTGGTGGATAATTGGAAATACTTATTAATTTGCAACTAACAAATTAAAAAAAAAAAAAAAGAAAAAGGCCCAGAGCAGAGCTACAGTCAGGAAAAAAAAATAAATAAATGAATGAACATATTCCAGAAGTTTGTGAAGTCAGACTCTAACTTTTATTGCCCTTCATGACTACTTGGAGATTAAAGCAGGAGGTGGAGTTTGGTACAGCAGCAGCATCGCACATTCCCGAGGAAAAGCAGCAGCAGGACGAAGGCTGGCAGAGGAACTGCTGAGTGGCAGCAAAGACAGAAGAAGTTTGCAGGAAAGCAGGAGAGAAGGGGGGAGTCTCTAAGCAAGGGCAGATCCGCGGGCAGGCGCAGGGCACCCAGCGGCATCAGCAGCAGGCGCTGGCCCCGCCGCCGCAGCCGCCGTTGGTT